CTCTCTCTCTCTCTCTCTCTCTCTCTCTCTCTCTCTCTCTCTCTCTCTCTCCAGAAGAGACGAAGTCATTTTTACTCGATTGCGCATCGGACACACGGCCCTGACCCACAAATACCTACTACAGGGAGAGGAGAAGCCGTTCTGTGTCGGATGCGACACAGATTTTACCATTAGACACATTTTAACAGAATGTCTAGACTTTGGAGAGATCCGAAGGAAACATTATAAATGCAAGAAATTGCAGGATATTTTCTCCGTCGTTGTTCCCAGCAGAATTTTAAATTTTATAAAGGCCATTGGCCTTTATGGCGAGTTGTAAAGTGAATCTGATATTATTTAAAATTTTTATTGTTACTTAAAAGTTGTTTTAGATCACAAATGTATTTACACCGAATTTGAATATTTTAACTTTTTAGCATTTTAAAGTAAATTAGTTACCAGTCGTGAAGTGAACTTTCGCAGAGGTGAACAACTTGTATATGACCTTAGCAGTTGCGAGCGCCGTAAAACCTTATACTACTACTACTACTACTACTCCTCTCTCTCTCTCTCTCTCTCTCTCTCTCTCTCTCTCTCTCTCTCTCTCTCTCTCTCTCTCTCTCTCTCTCATGGAAAAATTCAGTTTGATCTCACACGAGGTGTGAACTGACCGATGTGTTTCTTTTCCCCAAACATCGCTCTCGCATCTGAGTTCACCACCTTAACTTACAACACTCACTGGGTCGGTAGGGCCTACAAGTTCGCTCCAGGCGGGATCACATCAAACATCCCGTCTGGAGCAAACACTGTACCGTTTCATGGAGTTTTACAACGCTTGTGATCACAACATTCACGATAGTGGCTGATCTTTGACGCGACGGGCCGTTCTTTAATCTCAACTTTTAACTCTTGGTTGATTGATCGGCTGTGCCCGCCCGGGTGTTTGTTCGGAAAATTATGATCAGACATGCCGGCACTTACCCTTTCATTAAGCTTCAAAAGTAGATCTACTCAAAATGTACTTTAAAAATACTCAAAAGTACTTTAATAAAATGTATCGAAGTACAGTACAGTAAGAGTACTGGTTTAAAAAATGTACCGGAGTACAGTAAAAGTACCGAAAATTGTAACGTAAGTACGTACTTGTACTCCGTTACAACCAGCTCTGCACGTGGGTGGGGTTCGAACCCGTAGGCCTACACCTACGAGAATAGGCTAGGAGTGGTGTCTGTGGTGTAGTGGTTCGGTTAGACGTTTTGTGGCTGTTGCATACAGGAGGCTTCAGTTTGATTCCTGAGTGGGAAGAATTTTTACTTTTATTATTTATCGAGTATCTCTCGGTCACTTTGCTGGGATTGTGTCTTTCACCTTCTCAGCCCGGGTGGGCACTGATAGTGATAGGAATTGCTGGAGCCTGCCTCCTATATTATCTAAATTGTGTCGATCAGGACTCAACCCCCCCCTCTCTCTCTCTCACTCTCTCTCTCACTCTCTCTCTCCCCTCTCTTTCTCTCCAACCCAACCCAAAGGCAAAGCAACCTAAACGACAACACAAAACCCAAACAGATCATCCTCCTCCTCCTCCTCACTCCTCATCATCATCAGATCATCACCGCCACCACCACTACCGCCACCAACAACAACAGCACCGAAATGACCACCACCACCACCAACAACAACACCATCATCACTGGTAGGCCTACATGTACCACCACCACCACCACCAACAGCAACAATATCAAACAGTCTATACACCCGTACCCACATGTCAACAAAAGTTAGATAGAATCTAGGCCTACACATTATATACATGTAAAGCACGCCCCCACCCGGCCTGCTCAGACACAGCAAAAGATCGGGGATGATGATGGTCGGCGAGCGGCGAGAATACACAGAGGTGGGGTTCGAACCCATACACCTGTCGAAGAAGGGGGTATCGTCGGTGTGACAAGCAATGTACGTAAGGTCGTAAGGCTGTCCCCGCGGTTTTATGCCCCCCCCCCCCCCCCCAAAAAAAAAGAAGAAATTATGCAAACTGAGCCCAAAAATGTTAAATTATGCGATTCTGTTTTAATAAAGAATGGTAGCCTACATGTACAGAAAAATAATCAGAAATTATGCAAAAAATGATCAAATTTGGCTACATTATGCGGGGTGCATCAAAAACCACGGGGACCGGTAAGTCCGTTTGGGTATTTTTTTACACCCGAGACAATAATAAAAGGGAGTGCTTATTTAGGCCACATATGGCCTAAATAAGGTAAGGGAGGGGGGTTTAGCTTATTTAGGCCACACATGTTCAAACTACCCTTTTCAGGCAACTGAGTTCATTCCACTTTCATAATGGTGCCCCTTTCTCATTTAGTATGGTTTTGCCTCAGTGTACAACTTATAAATCATAACCAGAATGAATATTGTAAAGAACAAAGCACAAAACGCAAAATTTTGCTCAATTCCAATGGTTTGAATGAGGGCCGGATTTTTCCTTCATGGAGGGGCAAAAGCTAGGCTACCATTTTGGCACACTTTGGTCAAGTGAAAAGGTCAAATCCTCCGAATG